AGCATTTGTAAGATGTTTGTAAGATCTAATGTATAAGTTTTGTAAAGTTTGTATTTGTTTGAACTATCCTAGAAAACCTTATGTTTCCTACTAAAAGTAGCCTTCTACCAAGGCATCTAGTAACTGTGTGTGTGTCTTGCAAGAGTGTGTATTTTCCTAAATCTGACTATCATTAACCAAAAATATAGCTTCTACATTACCGTGCATCGTGTGAATGTTCACGAAGTGAATGTAATGGGAAAATGAAATAGTACTATGGTGTAGTGACGAACTACAACCGTACTAAATACCTTAAGACTATTGTAATTTTGTAAGTACTATAATATTTGTAATAAGTGACTACTTCTGTACTAATATTGCCTTATTTGAGGGATAAGACATAATGTGATGGCTTGACCCCAGGCTAGATGCTCCCCTGTCAAAGGAATTTTAGGACCCATACACGAACCCTGCATATCTGCAAGCCGTGAATATCCACATTACTATGATCACTTATACCTAATATAACTATCACAATGCATTGTGATTCATTGGTATAGTTAGATCCTGAAATCGTTCCATGCTATAGCACCTAGTGATGTATGTTCTATTATCGTATATGTAAACGCACTCATGTAAATGTATCTATGTAAACGTACTCGTGTAAGAGTAATCATGTAATAGTGTAGTAGTGTACTGTAATGTTCTGCGTGTGCTAGCTGTACCGTGTGTTATCTCTATCTAGCATGTATGTTTGTTTCTCATCACTATGTACTATGTTTGTTTCTCTTCACTATGTATTATATTTCTTTCTCATCACTATGTATTATGTTTGTTTCTCATCACTATGTATTATGTTTGTTTCTCATCACTATGTATTATGTTTGTTTCTCATCACTATGTATTAAGTTTGTTTCTCATCACTATGTTATGACTCATGTATGAACTGATTCTTTGTATGATTCATTGTTCTAGTATTAGTATTAGTAAAACCCTAAACTACGACTATTGTAGTTTACTAGTAATATAACTTGTATGTATGAACATGGGAGTATACCCTTGCTAACCAAGGGTACTGAATGAACTGGAAGAACCTTTATGACTATATATGTACACATGATATATAACTAATATTTAAACGACCTTCGGACGGGTACCCGATATCCCACCAGACCACATCTCAAGCGCGAAAATGAAATAGGGCGGATAGGCCTTCCTAATCTAAAAGTATAAAAGAAATTTCATAAAAGCATTTGATATGTAAAAGAGTTTTTAAGAAAATTTGAAGTAAAACGGTTTAGTAAAATAGTTTGAAAGTAAGAATTCACTTGTCGATAGTTATTAATCACATGTGATTGAGATAATAACTATCGTAACTTTACTTGTATTCCCCCCCCCCCCATAAAAGTATTTATAAACATTTGAAAACATTTAAAAGGTTAATTTAGGGGTATGAACTCACCTGTAGTGTGTGGATTGGATTGAGGTGTCGGGTACGATGCTAGGTGACAAGTGGAGACTTGTACACACACAACGAGCCTAGTTATCATATAATCAATATATATAACTAATTAAGCACTTTATCTCTAGTAATATAAGTTAAGACACTCTAGAACATGGTAACACTTTGATTTAATTGTTTAAAGATCACAAGGGTTGCATCTAAGTGTTTGTAGGAAAGGGCTAGTGTGTTTGGGGTTCGAGGAACACTCCTAAAATGAGTTTACTCCCTAAAGACCAACACCTCTTGAGTTTACGGTCGTAAACTCTTGACTTTACGGCAGTAAACTCCTAACCTTTTGACCATTTGTTGCTTTGAAGACTTCTAAGCCAATCCAAGCATTCCTACTTCATGATTAAGCCTTAGGAAGTGTTGTGTGGCATCAAAACACTCCTAAATGGTGTTTACGCTCTAAGGACCATTTCTCCACGAGTTTACTACCTTAAACTCATGAGTTTACTACCTTAAACTCATAAGTTTATGGTATTTGGGTTTTTTTTCAAGTCCTTAGCTCAATCATAGCAATAGTCTAGGCTAGATTTAGACATAAGGAATAACCATGGGACTTTTATGGGACATTTATACACTTTTTGGGGTATTTACGGTTTTGGGAGATCCCCAAACCGTAAACACATAAAAATGTAAGGTTTTGGTGCTTTTTGTGTGATAAACTTACCAAGGATGAATCTAGACAAGTCCTTAAGGCATTGTGAAGCATCTAGGCACCCTGTGGCACCACTTTGCACTTTATTTGGTGTTTACGATTTTGGGAGCCTCCCAAAACCGTGAACACCTTGTTCTTGGTGTTCTTGGGACATTTCCTTGGTATTAATATCTATAGTAAGCTTTAAATGACTCATGGATTGAAGTACTTATTTTGTGGAAGCTTGTAATGAACTAAAAGTCCAAGAACACTAGTTTGTGTTCTTGGTGTTTTGGAAAACTAGTCAAAACACATAAATGGATGGATTGAAGGATGTATAATCACTAGATTTTATGTTATATCAACTAATCAAGTCGAGAA